TAGGCTAGCTTTTAGGGTTTAGCCTCCTTAATCTCGTGGTAGATCTACTCTTGTACTACCCATATCATCAATATTAATCAAGCAGGACGTAGGATTTTACCTCCATCAAGAAGCCCAAACCTAGGTAAAACATTGTGTCCCCTATCTCCTGTTACCATCCGCCTAAACCACAGTTCGGGACCCTCTATCCGAGATTTGCCGGTTTGACACCAACAATAGCATCAACTCAGCGTACCCACAGCAGGTACAGAGAAGTGCTACGTGAGTAGAACCAGGAGACCATGCTAGGAAGGTGATCCACCCACAAAGACCGAATATAAATACTCAATCATCAAAACTCATAGAGGATAATTTCTCCTTCAACATCGACGACATGGACACAAAGATCTAGCTTTAGGCCTAGATAGGCCAATAAATATCTCGTGCAACTTAGTGTATAAGTCGTTGTTTCCGATTATTCATTTTTAAGCCCAGATTCATATGCGAATTAAAAAGAACTGAAAAATTATTAAAAAAACTGATTTATTTTTGTGCATCGAAGACGCTCAAGTGTGTGATGCCCATGCAAAACTTCACCGTGTTCGGATATATGAGGAGCTCGTGGCAAAAAAGACAAAATCGATCCAAACAGTGCATGAATAATAAAATTTCTCACTGAGTCCAAATTTATCCTTTTTGCTAAGAGTCGTGTTGTTTCGAGACTGCCCAGCAAGACGCATTGTTCCAAGACTGCTCGTCGAGGGTGTTGTCTAGGCCCGGCCATATCGAAGGTCCTCCTCCTTGGTACAATGGCCGACGGGTGATCTGTTGCCACATGCGACAACGGCAGAACAAAAGGCGATGCGTGGCGGTGCCGTACGTATGATGTAGAACTATCACCCACTATCACTTATGAGGACAGTGCAGGGCTGCCGAAGCATCTCAGGTTGAGAGCGGAGGGAAATTTTGAGTTCAGTATGGTACATGGTCAACTGTGCGTTAAATATAGTGTTATTTTTTGCCAAAGATTGAGATCGGAGGGACATTCGTTTTCTCCTCTTACTAATTCATCCACAATCTCTTACTATTAAGTACTAACCTTCAGTTGAGATAGCCAAAGTCAAACTAACTTGAAATAATTCATTTTATCATCATTTTGATTGAAATTAATATTTTATAATGGTTTCTTATGTTCTGTTGTGGCCCATCCTATTAGAAAAAAATGCCTTAGATTATAAACGAACATCTTATTTGGCTTGACACTAGCTCGAGATGGACTCAATATTTTTACAAGCTTAGCACGAGCCACTTTATATAGCTCGACCTTGAGCCTGCTTGAATTTTAGTATAAGTTGAGTTGAGTATAATTCAACTCACTCGAACTCGACTCGTTTGGAGCTCTACATGCTTGTGTCCATGTACAAGTTTGGAAAATATTGTTGACATGTATCTACTCAAAATTTACCTCTTAAAATCCGCTCCCAAAATATAACTCAGCAAAAATTCTAGTATCATTTGGGCACTGCATTCTAATCAATCTCACAAACTTTTTTGTTTTGCTGAAAAACCTTCCGATCTATTCATCAAACATCATGGCGGTATAAAGAACACTAGAAATAACAAGAATTACATCAAGGTCCATGAATCACCTAGCGACGACTACAAGCACTGGAGCAAGCCAAAGGCTTGCCGTCGTCATCATTTGTCCCTCATCAGAGCCGGTCAAACCTTGTTGTAGTAGACACAAGGGAATGCGTCCTAGTGAGGCCTCAAAGGATTAGCACACCAGAACAACAACCATCGTGATGAAGAGAAGTATATATCGGAAGGATCCAACCTGTAGACACACGAACACAGAGGAACGAATACCCGATCCATACAGATCCACTAAAGTCAAACGCCGACCAAATCTCATGAGATCCACTGATGACACACATCCACACGCCCTTAGACGACACTAGGTGCACCGCCAAGACGTGTGCTAGGCGGGGAGAATCTCATTCCATCTTCTTGGAGCCACCACTATCTCGCCTTCATGAGCATGGCACAAACCCTAAACAAACTCAAAAATTACCTAAAATGGAGCAGAAACCCTCTCACTGGCAAGGATCCACGGTACCTCCATAGCCCTAAGGCCACACGAGGCGAGGCAAAATCAATCCCAGAAACTTGACTGCCAGAAGTTTTTCTATTGCAATTTGTCTTACCCTATTGCATGTGTAAATCTCCTGTCATGTTTGTTCCAACAGAATATTAGTGAAACAATGATGTTTTGAATGCATATTTTTCAGCAACATTTCAAATATGGGTGCATAAATAAAATCCAAATCATACATGTTCACAATTTATACCGTAAGCAACAACATATCCTATATACCTAAGAGATTCATTCCCACTAACTTATTTATCTCAACATGCAAGCATGCCACATCACCATACAGTTATGAATGGGATAAGACCCACCTCATCATGCAACCATGCATGGAAAAAACCAACCACCACATGCAACCACGCATGAAAAAGAATTCATTCTATTATTCTACTTATATTCAACAAATATTTTACAACTGCACCTAATAAAATATAAAGGCGGCTGCTACAAATAAGTCGGATGATTTCTCTCAGAAATCATCCGCCTGTTCAGCCGTTGGATCAGGGTGTTGGTTGTCGTTGGATCACAGCAGGCAGCAGCAAGCGCGTCATCTTCAACCCAGCGCCACTGCAGCCTCGCTCGAAGCTCCAATGAAGCACCAATGGCGTCCGATGAGTTCCATCGCGACACCAACGCTCCGGCGAAGTTACATTGCAACTCCGGCTGAGCTCCATTGCAGCCCCGGCGGAGCTCCAACGCAGCACTGACGCTCCGGCAAAGCTCCACTGCAACTCCGTTCGAGCTTCATTGCAGCCCTGGCAAAGCTTTGACTGCTCCGACAGAGCTCAATTGCAACTCCAGCCGAGCTCCATTGCAGCCGCGTCGGAGCTCCAATGCAGCGCCGCCGCCTCCGGCGAAGCTCCCTTTCCCGTGTTGCTCTGCAGCAAGCGTTGCCGCAACGACCGGCCGGCTTGCCGCCGGTTGGCTCCTCTGCAACAGCAGCGAGGTCGCGTTGATTTGAAGAAGAAAAACGCGGCGGCTCCCCGTGAAAAGCACCGGTGGGCGTCTCTTCCTTTGCAAAAACAGGTCGCCACGGAGTTTCCTGCAGCAATTAGCGCCGGCGAGGAGTGGTGGCCGGCCGGGCATCAGCCCAGGGAGGAGAGGGCGCTGGGGAGAGAGAGAAAAGGGGTGGGGGAGAGAGAGCGCGCTAGTGCTGAGGGGATTAGCGAGAGAGACGATGAGATTGGAACGACCGAGAAGATAAGGCTTCATCGGTCCCACAAGGGACACGTGGCGAGAGAGGAAAGGGATTTAAGCGGCGAGAAAATCATCCGCCTGATTTTAAGCGTTTTCCATAAAATATACTAAGTTGTATACATTTTTTTATTTTGGTTCACATGTTATCAAATATCATCTAAATATACTGCAAACGATTCCCGCAACAACGTGCGGGTTATCATCTAGTTTCAACAGATTTCAACAACATTAGAAAAAAGAAGCAAAGTTCATCGAGAAGAATTGGGAGGCAACGTTGAGGGCTCCTTTGTTTCAAAGTTTTTCATAGAAATTTTAGAGGATTAGAATGTTTAGCATTTTTACCTATGTTGGTTGTTTGATTCACATGATTGAACCCTATAGAAATTTTCCTAAGGATTTCTTTGTTCTACTTCCCATAGGATTTTCCTAAGGATTTCTTTGTTCTACCTTCCATAGGATTTTTAGCATCCACTCAAACCTCTTTAAAAGAATATTTTGCTTTTTCTATGATGCAATCAAACAACCAAAATCATATCTGATTGAGATGGCCATGACATTTCAATCTTATGTTTTTTTATTCTCGTGTTTTTAGAATCCTATGAATCAAAGAGGCCCCGGGCATAGATCAAGCACCTGCAGATGCAAACCTTGATGTGTCGAATGCATGTAATTCAGCAACATTTCAAACACGGGTGCACGAAACGAAATCCAAATCACACATGTTCACAATTTATACCGAAAGTAAGAACATAGTATAGGACTAGATCCATGCCACAACCACACTGCTCTTGCTGCCATAGCAGCACGACCACTGCCAAGAGGCCCTCGAGTCGTCGCTCCAGCATCGCGGCTCCGCCAAAACACGCACCATCAAGGACCATCACTATGCTCAAGCTGAACGGTATATGCAACGCCGAGGAGATGACCCCACCAGCATTGTCGCCCAAAGAGGCTTTGTCTGTCAGCTCCCTTCGATGACGGTGAGGTGGGTGAGAAAAGATGAGACGAGGACAACAACAACAACAACTATGGTTTTCACCCGAGTTGCAACCTTAATCCAAGTCCAAGCGAGCCCTTAGAGCCACAACTCCTACGGCCCGAGCAGCCTGGGCCAAGCTATTGACCGGATTGACGGTCAGTGTTCATCGTTTCTGTTGTAGCAAGGGATGCGAAGAAAAGTACTCCCTCCACCCCATAGTCATTGTGGTTGAAATGGATATATCTAGATACACATTGTTTTAGTGAGAATTAATATGAAATGGAGGGAATAGCCATGTTAACCTACTTTTAATGAGTCAAATTTATTTAGGACCTTGATAACGCCCGAAGGTTTGTTTATTGACATGTTTTCGATGACATTTTTAGTGACACGAGGATTTCAAATTTAGTTGACACGCATGATAAATCCGTGCTCAGTGTATTTTTTGCCTGCCGAACTAAATTTGCAATCCTCGTGTCACTAAAATTGCCTAAAAAGACTTTTCATTTGCCATGATCAAATAATGAATGTTTGGGATTTATCTTTTCTGTTTATTTAAGATGGGTTTGTATTTTTTTAAGCCAGAAGGCAGTTCTTATTCGCACGTCCTTTTGATTTCCCGTTTGTAATTCCTCTCTCTATCCCCCAAATACCATGCCGATGCGGCGCCATCTCGACCTCACCCGCGCCGCCATGCCGCCGCGGCGCTGGCCGGCGGCGCCGCCTCCCGCCTGCGCCTTCTCCGCCGCGGCGCCGTCCGCCAAAACCACCGTGCAGCTCGCCCACCTCGCGCACCTCCCGTCCTCCCTCCCGCCGCCGTCCCACTGCACCGTCACCCCGCCCGTGCAGCCCTGGCCGCGCCGCCTCACTCCCCGGAGCTTCTCCCGCCTCCTCCTCCGCCTCCCGACCCCTCAGCTCGCCGTGCTCGCCTTCCGCCACGCGCTCTTCCGCGCCACGCCGCCCCTGCCCCCATCCGTCCCCGTCTTCGCCGCGGTGCTCTCTCGCCTCGCCGGCGCCCCCCCGGACCTGCTGCCGCCGGTCCTCTCCGCCCTCCGCGCCGCCCGCCTCCCGGCCTTCTCCGACCGCGCCTTCCTGCCCCTCCTCCGCGCGCTCCCGCCGCTCCCCTCCCTCCGCCTCTTCCTCTCCCTCCCGTCCTTCAACTCCCACCTCTCCGTGCGCTCCTTCAACGCGCTCCTCCACTCCCTCGTCGCCGCGCGCCGCCTCCGCCTCGCCGCCGCCCTCTTCCGCGCCGCGCCCACCAAGCTCTACATCACGCCCGACCTCGTCTCCTGCAACATTCTGCTCAAGGGGCTCGTCGGCGTCCGCGACCTCGATGCCGCCCTCAAGGTTCTCGATGAAATGCCCGGGTGGGGGATCGTCCCTGATGTCGTCACCTACACGACGGTTCTCTCCGCATACTGTGCCAAGGAGGATCTCAAGGGCGCACAGAAGCTATTCGATGATATTATTGCCGGTGGGCGTGTGCCAGATGTTACGATGTACACGGTGCTCATCGATGGGTACTGCCGGACCGGGAAGATACAGGATGCAGCTAGGATTATGGACGAGATGGAGGCAGCTGGGGTGCAGCCGAATGAGGTTACGTATTCAGTCGTGATTGAGGCATGCTGTAAGGAGGGGAAATCTGCCGAGGCGTGCAATCTAATGGGCGAGATGCTTGGGGCAGGTTACACACCAGACACACCACTGGCTGCTAAGGTGGTCGATGTGCTGTGCCAGGACGGAAAGGCAGACGAAGCACACGGAATGTGGAGATGGATGGTGAAGAAGAACGTCCCACCAGATAACACAATCACGAACACACTGATCTATTGGTTATGCAAGAGCGGAATGGTTCGGGAGGCAAGGAAGCTGTTTGATGAGCTCGAGAAGGGGTACAAGCCAAGCTTACTGACTTATAACTCGCTTATTTCCGGATTATGTGAAAATGGGAAGTTACAAGAAGCTGGGCAGGTGTGCGATGACATGGTTGAACGGAGATATGAGCCAAATTCCATGACTTACGAGGCCTTCATCAAGGGATTTTGCAAAATTGGGAAGCCAGATGAAGGGGCCGCAGTATTTACTGAGATGGTGACCAAAGGGTGCACCCCAAGCAAGGTTCTTTACCAAGTTTTGGTTGATAGCCTTTCTGAGCCAATACACGACGATATTATTGGCAAAATTGTTCAAACTGCTGCCTTAAGTGGTGGGGATTTCTTGGATGGGGATTCTTGGGAGCTCTTTATCAGGAGAGTGTTAGATACTAAGAGTGATGCTTGGAACAAGCATCTCAACTCAGTGCTAGATACATAACCATAAGGTGTGGTGTGCAGACTATGGCTGAAAGCCCCAAACTGATCATTGTATTCTGAATAAATTTCTCAAGGAAGTTGATGCCTTGATGCCACTAGTCTTCCACTGTAACAACTAACAACTTCTCTGGAAACGTCTTCCACTATAACTAACATGGTCAGTAGCACACTGATCTATTGATTGTGCAAGAATAGAATGTTTGGGAAGGTGAGGAGGCTGTTTGATGGGCTCATGGAGGGGTCCATATCAAGCTTTTTGATTTGTAGCTCACTTAGTATCAAATTGTGTGAAAATAGGGAGTTACAGGAGGCTTGGGTCATGTGAAAACTGTTCAGATTACCGTCGCAAGAATAAGATTGGAGAATATTTGAGGCACTGGAGCTGCTAATTGTTAGCAACAAAACTTTCTGGATGAATAGTGTAGAGTTAAATGGTGTTCTTGGTTGCTCAGCTAAAACCCCATTATTACTCTGTATTCAGTTCTCATTTCCTTGTCATTGCCTCTGCAACTCAGATCTTCCTGGCACATTGTATTTCTGCAGTGTAGAAGAGGATGTGGTCCATGGCTTGCCCTATATTGAAGTACTTTGTGAGAGACCTTCAATCCTCATGGTCACTGGTGGAAACTGCTGGGCTGTGGTGAGGGAAGGGAAAGGCAACAGAGAGGAAGATGGCGGTGATTCTGACGACCATTTAGAGTTATCTCTGGCGGTATTGTTGTTGATGATGATAGTGTATTCCTCTTAGTTTTGTGAAACATATGTTATAAAAAGGTCCCTAGTGATCAGAAGCACGTATATGATTCTGCTCCCTGTCAGCAGCTCAGCTCTTGCTTCAACCTGATGAATTGCTCTTGTAAGCTCAATGTCGTAGAAGCTTCCCACGGATTTATCTCAACTACAGGAGGAACTGGTAAAATATCTTTGTTCCCTATTTGTACCTTGATCAACATAATCTACAGTTTTTCAGACTGAAACTGTCAACAGCTAGAGTTCTGCTTACCAAGCTACCTGCATTTGCAGCAGTAGGACAATTTAATTTCTGTTATCCAAAGGGATGCCCTTAACTTGGAGCCAGACCACATCCAAATCCCTAGTAGAATAATAAGAAGTAAACCATATGTTGTGGGACTAAAAAGTAGGACGTTTCATTCAAGTTAAGTCAATTTTTGATATGTTGTTTATTCATTTATCAAGCTTCCTGAGAACTAGTGTAATTGTTTGTTTGTAGGTAAGTACAGATGTGATTCTGCTTCACATCCTGGGTACAAGTCGGTCAGGACTGTCCCAACTGAATTATTTTTAACTGAACTTTATCAGCAGAGCGAGTAATGTCCATCATCTCTGGCTCCAATAGTCTGATGCCTGCTCAAGTGCGCATGGACTGTCCAGCGGCAGTTCATGTCCGACAGGAACCGCTTGAAAGCCGACCGTGACGAGCCACCATCGCTCCAGGCCACGGCGGTGCCTTTCTGGTGACCGGACACTCGCTCCCGGAGTTCCCTTCCTGTCTAGGACTCCATCACAAGCCTAACCTTAGCCTCCACCTTGTCGGCCCGGACCAGCCCCTGCTGCCACCCAACCATCTCCACCGCGATCCTCAGATCCTCCACCATGAACACCTTGTTCATCCTGTGGTCCGCGTACAGCGGCCAGCCCAACATCGACACACCAGCCATGATCCCCTCCAGCACCGAGTTCCACCCGCATGGCCCTGTGGTGGAGCACGTCCACCTGCGGTGCCCACCGCTTGCTGACGAGCCCGCGGCCGTCGGTTCACTCCACGAACCCCTCCGGCAGGAGCGCATGGAGGTCCGGGTCGTCGTTGTTGACACTCTTGGGGTCTCGTACCACCGACCTCTCCAGCCCAATGGCGATCTCCCTGATCTGCTCCTCCGAGTGGCTCACCTCAGCTATGCACCCGAAGCAGAGGAACATGACACTGCGGTCCGATTGCCCGTCATGCCACGCGAGGCAGCCGTGCCCCGATGCCTCTGCTCGCTCGCCGGTCTTCTGGACCAGAGACCTGACATAGTACAACGGAGCCAGCACCACGCCGGGCGGAAGATGTCGTGGATGCCTGATGTATCTTTTGGCCAGGTGTGAGGTGTCCTAGCTAGTAGCTAGCTCTTCCTTCTTACGTTCGTATATTTATTTTTCTTTCTCATGTTTGGAGAGCGTAACCTGCTGCTTTATTGGTAATGCCCTTGTTAATCTACTCATTTGGTACGAAATTGCAATCATAAAGTTATTTGTTGTGCTGCATAGCATGGAAGAAATCTCTGTTATGAAGTTGCGACTTGCTTTTACTAGATTCCAAATAATCATGGAATGACTTGTTTACAAGCTGGAATAGTACTTGGTTTGACAAAAAAAAATCTGTTGCCAATACAATTCTTTTTTATGCAATTACTAGAACTTTTGTCATGAATCTTTCTGAAACTTTGAACAGTAAATATAAAAATAAAAATCCATCTTAACGAATAGGCAGTGCTCCTGACATGTTTTCTGGAAAATATATATGAAATAACACCAATTTCTCATCTCTGAATGAATGGTTTGAAAATAAGCATTTATTATTTACATTGATCCCTGCATGCTCGTTGGCACTTTCCAATTTCCGCAAACAGGGACTACCAGACATGAGGAAATGGTCACGTATACACTGGGCACCCCTCAACAAATATACCCTTAGCAGTGGGGCAAGAAGCCAGGGGGCATCCATCCAAGTCATTGCCCCACCAGTTCAAACTGATGTTCTCCAAGCCTAGGCACATGTAAATTAACACGGCCATGAATGCCAAACCAGCATCTAGTGCACCTGAAAGCAGATAATTGTGTCGCTCCCACCAGTCACGCCGGTATCTATAGACCACATAGCCTGACAAAAACCCAACAAATATCCATGTGATGTAGTTGACTGCAGTGGCGGGTGGCATCTGGCCGGTGGAACCAATCAACAAGGGCATGTTGATAAGCAAGATCCAGTTCTGGCCTGGGAATGCCTTGTGTGCAAACCAGACAAGGAGTGGGGCAATGGCGCCCCCCAAGAAGAACCAGTTCACTGCCGAGTAAGTTCCTAAGTCCCCAAATATTCTGCGTGGGCTAATGAGACCCCATATGACTGATGCGTCGTAGAACACATCACCGGGGCAGGTCCAAGGGCTGCCTGCTGGGAGGAGCTCGGTGTCACAGATGTTGGGGATTTAGTCCATCAGCCACCATGCTGTTCCAAGGTACACAAATGCTGCAATCAGAGTTCCGACCACCTGCCATGTTTCAAGAAGTTGCTTAGTGACACAATACAACATGGGCACTTGTGCAGTAGAAATGACAGAGCAACTATATGAGTAGAAGCTTTACCTGAGCCATGAACATGGTCCTTGGGGGAATCTTCATGTAGTGGCCCGACTTAAAATCTTGCAGAAACGTCAGAGCTTGGCTCATGCTGATGTAGCCATATACCTTGAAGCACATATTCGCGACGGGCCGTCCAGGGTACAGGTACCCCATGATGTACTCTGTGATGATGTTCAATCCTGGAGTCTGCATATAACGAAAGAATAAAAAATCAGGGAACTGGTGGTCTGGAGTTGTATGACATGATATGCAATTTGTCAAATTGCGTACCTGATTCGTAGTTGCTGTGATAATTCCGATTGGGAGGGTAAAGAAAAAGGCAATGGCACATGCCAGCAGTACTCCCCACCAGGGCAGCTGGAGTTGCTCGATGTAGTATTCACAAGCAAATACAGTTACAGCAATATTAACAGTAAGGATGCAGATGAACCACCACTCGGGCACCTGCTTATATCTCCTCATAAGCTTTGTATGTACATCCACCCTCTTCTCTTTAAAAGCTGATTTACTTAACTGCCAAATTTCACTGCACACAGTCACCATGGTTCTTAGCTGTTGCAGTTCTGTAATTCTGCGAAACTGACTGACTATTTTTTTTTGCAGAATTTTACCTTCCGTGGAAGAGGAGGACATGGACAATCGTCGCGGTAAGGGATGCAAAACCAACACCGTACGTGACGGCGAAGAAGGTGCTGAGGTACAGTGGACCGTTCTTCTCATAGGCCTTCGTGTCGAAATGGAACTGGGAGTCCACGATGCTCGTGATGTTGTACTTCTGCCCGGTCTCGGTGAAGAGCCCATCGGAGAAGATGGGGAAGTTCCGCGCCTTGTAGAAATTAAACCAGTACGCGATGGGCGTGATCACGTACATGATGATGAAGAATCCTGCGGCGACGTTGGCGGTACGAACCAGGGGCTGGCGAGGGGGCTCCCGAGGTAGGAGGAGACGGAGGCCCAGTCGAGGCCGATGGAGCCGATGCCGAGGCCGTAGAGGCCCGAGCCGAGCTGCTGGGCGAACACGGAGTTGGGGAACACCCAGCAGATCCAGGAGAGGGAGGTGAGCATCTGGAACAGGTAGCCGGGGAAGATGTAGTAGACGAAGCTGCAGATGAAGGCCACCAGGAAGAACTGGCTGCGTGTGAATCCGCCTTTGTTCCGCACCTCCTTCTCGTGGAGCGCCCTGCTCGGAATTTCCAGAGTTTCAGAGAATGGTTCGAATTCGAATCCGCAGGTATGTTGTGTTTTAGATTTTGGAGATGATACAAAGTCTACTTTGCTGCCATGCTCAGGAAAAAGAAACTGGCTGGCGGCTATTTTACGCTCTCTGAATCTTTGGTGTTTTTTTTTTCGCATGCTCCAAGTGATCTCCATCTTATTCTTGTTTTGCATGTTAATTAGGTTGCCATCTTTCCTTGAGAGAGACAAATGGAATGGAATTTCTCTCCAGTTTTGTACAATCTTACTGAAGGGGAAGACATCATCTGTGCATGATCATTTCTCTCCTACCATCATGGGGCGCATGTTAATTAGCTCACAGTGTCTTCTCCTTGGGATTGACACAGGAGATGAAATTCCTCTCCTATTTTGTTAGTACAATTTATGTTGATGAAAGGAAGACATTTCTCCTTGGTTCCTCTATGGAGGGCTATTATTCTATTGTCATGTTGATTGTTGAGAGATTAAAAGGGGTTGGATATAACCGAAGCCAGATGCTGGAAGGCTGTAGATCCAGCTTGGTCAAATGATATGGTTTCTTCCCATCAATTTTCTTTTCGTCATTTCTTCGGATACCGCTCGAGGGTCCTGTCCTATGTTAATGCTCCTAATATCTTTTCATCGATTTCATTTTGTTAATGAGGGGCAGACTAGCCAAGGCCAAAACTGACGTGTCATGACCCATGACAGGTAGCCAGCCAGCTACTGGCCTTGCTCAAAAAATGAAGGTGGCCTATGACAAAAATTAGCTGGGCAGTTATCTTCGTAATGAGTAGGCAGAGCTTGAAAAAAAGAAGCAACCTGCTTGGTCAAACGAACTTCATCTCACCATCTCCGCTAACTGATATTTTCGTGTTTGCTGCTGGCTGGTCCTGTCATCATCAGCGCTCATCACTTCTTTTCATCAATTTCACAACTACTCAACTAGTATGACTCTAATATTACAATCTTCATATCTCAAAACAATCATCAAGTATCAAACTTCTCATAATATTCAATGCACTCTATATGAAAGTTTTTATTATACCCATCTTGGATGCCTATCATATTAGGACTAATTTTATAGCCAAAGCAAATTACCATGTTGTTCTAAAGGACTCTCAGAATAATATAAGTGAAGCATGAGAGATCAATAATTTCTATAAAATAAAACCATCACCGTGCTCTAAAAGATATAAGTGAAGCGATAGAACAAAATTATCTAGCTCAAAAGATATAAGTGAAGCACAAAGAGTATTCTAATAAATTATGATTCATGTGTGTCTCTCTAAAAGGTGTGTACAGCAAGGATGATTGGAGTAAACTAAAAAGCAAAGACTCAAATCATACAAGACGCTCCAAGCAAAACACATATCATGTGGTGAATAAAAATATAGGCTCAAGTAAAGTTACCGATGAACGAAGACGAAAGAGGGGTTGCCTTCCGGGGCATCCCCAAGCTTAGGCTTTTGGTTGTCCTTGGATTTTACCTTGGGGTGCGTTGGGCATCCCGAAGCTTAGGCTCTTGCCACTCCTTATTCCAAAATTCATCAAATCTTTACCCAAAACTTGAAAGCTTCACAACACAAAACTCAATAGAAAATCTCATGAGCTCCGTTAGAATAAGAAAAACAAATCACCACTTTAAGGTACTGTAATGAACTCATTCTTTATTTATATTGGTGTTAAACCTACTGTATTCCAACTTTTCTATGGTTCATACCCCCCGATACTAGCCATAGATTCATCAAAATAAGCAAACAACACACGAAAAACAGAATCTGTCAAAAACAGAACAGTTTGTAGTAATCTATAGGTTTCGAATACTTCTATAACTCCAAACATCCTGAGAAATTAGGACATCCTAAATAATTTGTATATTGATCTACTGCAGTTGGAATCAGTATTTCATCGCTCTCTGGTTAAAAATGAAAATTATTCTCGTGAGCGCATAATTTCTGTTTTTTTTCAGCAAGATCAAACAACTATTATCCAAGAAGATCCTAAAGGCTTTATTTGGCACAAACACTAATTAAAACACAAAAAACACAATCATAGCAGTAGATAGATGATTTATTTAATACTAAACAGGAACAAAAAGCAAGAAATAACAATAAAATTGGGTTGCCTCCCAACAAGCGCTATCGTTTAACGCCCCTAGCTAGGCATAAAAACAAGAATAGATCTAGGTATTATCATTTTTGGTATGCAATCCATACATGTCTCTCATAATAGATTCATAAGGTAATTTAATTTTCTTTCTAGGAAAGTGTTCCATGCCTTTCCTTAAGGGAAATTGGAATATAATATTTCCTTCTTTCATATCAATAGTTGCACCAATCGTTCTAAGGAAAGGTCTACCAAGAATAATAGGACAAGTAGGATTGCAATCTGTATCAAAAACAATAAAAATCTACGGTCACATAATTCCTATTTGCAACAATAAGAACATCATTAATCCTTCCCATAGGTTTCTTAATGGTGGAACCCGTAAGATGCAAATTTAAAGAACAATCATCAAATTCATGGAAACCTAACACATCACACAAAGTTTTTGGAATCGTGGAAACACTAGCACCCAAATCACATAAAGCACAGCATTCATGATCTTTAATTTTAATTTCAATAGTAGGTTCCCACTCATCATGAAGTTTTTTAGGAATAGAAACTTATAATTCAAGCTTTTCTTCATAGGATTGCATTAAAGCATCAAAGATATGTTTGGTAAAAGCTTTATTTTGACTATAAGCATGAGGAGAATTTAACACAGATTGCAACAAGGAAATACAATCTATCAAAGAGCAATTATCATAATTAAATTCCTTGAAATCCAAAATAGTGGATTCATTGCTATGTAAAGTTTTGACCTCTTCAATCCCACTTTTACCAATTTTTGCATCAAGATCTAAAAACTCCGAATCATTGGGACGCCTTTTAACTAAAGTTGACTCATCTCCAGTCCCATCTTTATAAGGATCCATATTGGAAAACAAAGATTTAATAGGGGACACATCAATCACTTTTAGATCTTCATCGTTATTATCATGGAAACTAGAAGAACACGCCTTCACAAAGCAATCCTTTTTAACACGCATCCTAGCGGTTCTTTCTTTGCACTCATCAATGGAAATTCCCATGGCTTTGAGAGACTCATTGATATCATGCTTAGGTGGAATAGATCTAAGTTTCAAAGAATCAACATCAAGAGAAATTCTATCCACGTTCCTAGCCAACCCATCAATCTTAAGCAATTTTTCTTCAAGCAAAGCATTGAAATTCTTTTGAGAAATCATAAATTCTTTAACACTAGTCTCAAAATCAGAGGGCATCTTATTAAAATTTCCATAAGAGTTGTTGTAGGAATTACCATAATTATTAGAGGAATTACTAGGGAACGGCCTAGGGAACGCCATTTTGGTAACAACGCTTTAGAGGAAACTTTAATCCTAGGCCATTTCCTAGTAATTCCTCTAATAATTATGGTAATTCCTACAACCATTTTTATGGAAATTTAAATAAGATGCCCTCTGATTTTGAGACTAGTGTTAAAGAATTTATGATTTCGCAAAAGAATTTCAATGCTTTGCTTGAAGAAAAATTGCCTAAGATTGATGAGTTGGCTAGGAACGTGGATAGAATTTCTCTTGATGTTGATTCTTTGAAACTTAGATCTATTCCACCTAAGCATGTTATCAATGAGTCTCTCAAATCTATGAGAATTTCCATTGATGAGTGCAAAGAAAGAACTGCTAGGATGCGTGCTAAAAAGGATTGCTTTGTGAAAGCGTGTTCTTCTAGTTTTCATGATAATAAGGATGAAGATCTAAAAGTGATTGATGTGTCTCCTATTAAATCCTTGTTTTGCAATATGAATCTTGATAATGATGGGACTGGAGATGAGTCAACTTTAGTTAAAAGGCGTCCCAATGATTCGGAGTTTTTAGATCTTGATGCAAAAATTGGTAAAAGTGGGATTGAAGAGGTCAAAACTTTACATAGCAATGAACCCACTTTTTGGATTTCAAGGAATTTAATTATGATAATTGCTCTTTGATAGATTGTATTTCCCTGTTGCAATCCGTGCTAAATTCTCCTCGTGTTTATAGTCAAAATAAAGCTTTTACCAAACATATGATTGATGCCTTAATGCAATTCTATGAAGAAAATCTTGAATTAGAAGTCTCTATCCCTAAAAATTAAAATTAAAGATCATGAATGCTATGCTTTATGTGATTTGGGTGCTAGTGTTTCGACGATTCCAAAAACTT